CTGAATGATGTCAATGATGCTGTTCTTTTCGATGACGAGGATGATAGCTTTGACATTCTTAAATGGTGGTCCGTCAGCAGCATTAGATATCCTGTGCTTTCTGAAATGGTGCGGGATATTATGGCCATTCCGATTTCTTCTGTTGCCTCCGAGTCTGCTCTCAGCACAGGAGGTCGGGTGCTATCCTCATTTAGGTCCTCCTTGACCCCGAAGATGGTGGAGGCATTAATCTGTGCCGAAGATTGGATACGATTCCCTGATTCCCAATTGGTTCATGATGAAGAGGTTTTCGAAGAGCTAACTGAGTTTGAAAGTGGTAATATATCATTTCTTCCTTCTAATTATGCTTTAGTTTTCATATTTGACAATTTGCCTATCTTAGTTTTCTCATTATAATCTACTTTTCATGTAGTTTATGAGGTTTTACAAGCTCGAATGGCTAATCAAAGTGGGAGTGACTTTGATGGAACCCAAAGTTTTTCAGTTGATCCTACTCCTACCCCCATAGTTGATGGACTTGATGATGTTGCTGAATATGATTCCAATGTCAATCCTGATGACGAGAATGAAGATCTTGGAGTAAATGATGACATTGGGCTAGACGATTTGGAGCGAGATCCCCGAATTTAGGTTGATGATTTGGAGAATGAACTTGTTATTTGTGGCTTGTTGTGATTTGTGAACTTGTGACTTGATGAATTATTGGCATGTAAAAGATTTATGGTGTGTGATGAATGATGACTTGACTTGTGGTTTAACTGTGGTTGGTTTAGACTTTATGTTCTGATTTGATAATAGAGCAGTAGGTTTTTAGAAAAAAGGCAGCAGCAGGTTTTTAGAAAAAAAGGCAGCAGGTCTGCTGTGTGCAATTCACGGAAATCGGTTTTATTGGTCGGTTATTGGCGGTTTTTGACCGAAAACCGAAAACCGAACCGACTCTGGCGATTTTGACTAACCGTCCGCTCAAACCAAAACCGGCGGTTACGGTTGGCGGTTAACCGAGGCTACATTCGGTGTCAGCTTCGGTTGATGGTAGGAATGGCAATGGGGCAGGTCCGGGGCGGGTTTCTTGGTACCCAGACCCGCCCCGTGGCAGGTCGGGTCCAGGTCGGGTAATTAATCATGGGTAGTGGGTCGGGGCAGGTCGACCCAATGGGTATGCAATTTATATTAAAAACATTAGAATATTCGTTATTTTTATTATAAGACTAAGAAAACAAACAATATTATGACAATTGCAGTTAAATTATTGGAGAAATTGAGGTTTTTACTAATTTACAACTTTCTTATAGCTAAAATATGATGCAATAAAAGGAAAATACTAAGTAATTTGACTAAGATTACATGTAAATTAGACAAGAACGGGTCGAGAATGGGGCGGGTCAGGGCAGGTCGGGTCGATGAGACTACCCATGCCCGCCCCGCCCCGCCTACGGGGCGGGTCGGACCGGCCCCGAAACAGGTCAAACAGGTCGGATAACACGTGTCAGGTCGAAATTGCCATCCCTAGTTGAGGGAAATGGGCTGGTTTCGGTCTCGGCTAACCGACGGTGCGGTTCTGTTAAACCGAAACCGCACCGACTAACAGCCCTAGTGGTAATAACTGGTCTTGACGAAAAACATTGTTAAATAATATAAGTCTATTATTAAATCTTTCACAAAAACTTGAGTTATTGGTACTAAATGGTCTTGACGAAGAACACCATTCAAAAGCAAATGTCTAACTAAATTATTAATAATTGGTTGCTATATATAGAGTGATAGTCTTGAGAGTTTCGACCTATAATTAATTTACCAAATTTTTGTAAATACAAAAGTATATCATGAATTATTTAAAACGCTAACAAAACTATTTTATCGTATTTTTTTCTAAATGGACCCACCCTCGACAAAATCCTGGCAACGCCCCGTGTATAGTTTGAAGCTAGGAGAATGGATATTTTTAGTCCATTTATCCTCTTTCCAAACGGTTAGTAACAAAAGCTTAATATATGACTGATATTTAACATACGTAGTTGCAAAGAGAAGGGTCCAAAAACGAAAAGTTGAGGATCAGATTCAGAGATAATAAAAATTGATTGTCAAATCCACGCCCCGATCGGCGACTTAGTAATAGTGATGAAACTGAAGATATTGGAGGCTTAGATAGTGCAGGTTCCATCATATGACGCACCATCCAAATTAGAATGATAACATTTTAATAGTTATAGATCAACGAAGACATGCAACTTGTTATATATCAACACTTATTATTGTTGCTGTCGGGCAAGTGTTTGGCGATGGAGTTGGATGAGAAGTTAATTGGATTGAAAGTTAGACAGCTGGGAGGGATGGGTGAGTAGACCGGCCTGCCTTGAACTAATTCCGACTCCCGAATTTAAGAGCGGTGGTTCTTCTGTTGGATGTGTACGTAGATGCTTATTTAGCTGTGTATCATGTCGCTAAGGCAAGCCCAATTTTAATGATGATCAACCAATCAATTTCAATCATTCGAATTATTGTAAGAAGATTAATTATACATATATTATATCACTATCCTACACAAGTAACCGGAAAACTAACGGTAAAAAGTAGGAAGAAGAAGAAGAAAAAAAAAACAGGGTATGGTCTTAAAAAATAGTAAGGCAACTTCAATGGAAAGGCAGTAAACAACTTGTATCCAAAGAACATCTGGCGTAGCATAGATAATAAATAAATAGGAGTTAATATCATTCCAATTGCCATTACGAAAGTAATTAGTATTTGTTTGTGCCTGGTTTGTCCCAGGCGGTTTGTGGGGCTTCACTGGCTTCGAGCGGTCCGGACGGGTGAGCGGCGGTCCTCGAAACCCTGCAAGAAAGGTCCTCAGGGGTGTCCTGGGACCTCCTCCGATGCCTAAGTTAGAGAGAGAAGTGATCTGAAATGAATAAGAGAGAGAATCTAGTTGATAGGAGTTACCATAAATGCTGCCCTCAAGGGACTGTTTATACCCACTTGGAATAGGGGTCGGAGCATTTAATGCGGTGTCAGGCGGTCTGAGACGCCGCAGAGCTCATTAAATGCTTTGTCAGTACGAATGTCTGACTTCCTCAGTTCATCAGAGCTTTGGTCCTTCTGTCGGGCGGCTCTCTGACGTGTGTGTACGTCATTGTCGGGCGGTCTCCGAGGGTAAGATCGTGGTAGACCGCCCTAGCCCATTCTTACTTTCTACGGGCTTTGTAACCATGGGCCTCAGGCCCACGTATGCTAATACTTGGCCCAACATTTGCCCCTTAGTCGTGAGAAGCATTAGGTTGTCGCAGCTATTTTCTTCTACCGTCATGAAGCGGTTAGGTGGTATGCGGTCCATGGTTACCTCCTTGCCCCTTGTCGCGTTGAGCTAACGCGGTGAACGGCTATGGGGCGGTCAGGACGCACTGCGCCCTGCCCCTTGCGCTAGTGGCGCCACGTGGCTTGCCTCGATCGCGGTGCGTTGTCAAAGGCAATCCAATCGTCACCCCTGGCACCTTGGGTTTCGCGTTTTACTATAAGTGGGTTTGAGAACCCATTTGTCTGTCTCCGCCATTTCCATTTGTGAGAAACTCTTGTCTTCTTCCTCTTTCTCCCTGGTGACGCGATTGATGAGCTCTGGTTTCCCGGCGAGCAGTGCTATAAAATCGAGCTTTTTCTCCAGTAAGTATTCTGTTCGCCTACTTGGTGGTGTGCTGCTTTTATTTTGTTCCCTTTTTCTCTTTGCTCCGTGTGGACTGTCGAGACGTCGCCCTTTTGTTGTGCGTCGGACCTCGACTTTTTCTTCTATCACTGCAGACCTCGGATGGATCAGAATTCGCCCGTCGACGAGCTGAGTCGCGAGACTATCGCCGCCGACGCTGTTGGAGGTGGTGCCTCCGCGGTCGTTGAACTTCCTCTCGCCGGCGCCTCGGAAGTTGCGCCGCCGTCGAATCCCGAGGAAAGGCCTGTGAGGCCAACATCGCCCTCCTCTGCCGCTGCGCTTGGGAAGAAACCGGCCGCTTCTATTGGGGGTGCCACCCCTGCCACTCAAGGTATGATTCGCTCCTCTCCCGCTCGAAGGGTTTCCGAGTGCGCGTTTGACCTATCCGGTCTGGACTTGTACTTCGGGAGCGGTTCTGAATTAGACGATTGTATTTTTGGGGGATCTTTGGGGTTAGATGATTTTTTTGCTAACATGCGCCCTGTACCAGTTTGGGTTGTGGCAACTTCTTCTGCAGTTGGGGATAATTTGGGTGAGTTTGGGGCGATAGATTTAGATAACGGGTCGTCGGGTGACGTGGAGGTGGTTAGTAGTGATGGAGTACGATCTGAGGCGGTTCCTAGTACCTCGTCGTCGATTGAGGTATCGGACTCTGAGGGGGGGGGGGGGATTGCTTCGCGGTTGGCAATTGCAGACGACCTATACAGTCCTACGGCATGAGTGTATGTGGGATGATGAACAAGTACCGCCGGAGGTGTTGAAGTATGGGCCAAAGTATGAGGCGGCTTTGAGGCCTGTCCAAGTTTTGCATCGATTGACCGCCTTAGGACTTCCTCCCGAGTGGGATTATGCGGCCCCCCCTGAGAAGTGTAGGTCAGGATCGTGTCCTGAGGGTTGGATTCCCATTTTTGTGGAGCACGTGAAGTTGGGTTTGTGGTTCCCTCTGGAACCTGTCTTGACTCAGACTTTGAATTGGATGGGATGCACTCTTGGTCGCCTCTCGCCTACCATTGTCTTTCACTCAGTCATGTACTGATACGCATGTAGCCGCTTGAAGGAGGCTCCTTCGTTTGATGCGTTTCGTCTCCTGTACAAGATTCGAGATTCGACCAACTGTTGGTCCATAGGTAGGCGGGACAGTTCTGTTGGATTTGTATCGGGATCGCCCAAGTTGGACTCGCCTTGGTATAGGGAGTACTTTTTTGCTCGTCCAACGGGTCAGTGGTATTCCGGAGGGACCGCTCCTCCTACTGGGTATGCGGTTGGAGCCAAAGATTCCTGGTGCTCATCAACCCAGTTCTCTTCGTCTATGAGGGATCATGTGAACCGCCTCACTGATGGCTTTCATTTGCGCGTGTTTCCCGGCGGTTCAGGGAGCGCGTATGAGCATGTTCGCAGTTTTTACGGTTAGTAGCGTGTGTCCTTTGTTGCGTTGCTTTCGTTTGCTCATACTTCTTTACTTATGCTTTTTCCTTGCAGGGTTGAGGGCTTTGGCGGATGCGGTCAGGCTGAAAAAGAAGAGAGCGGTGGTGAAAGTGAATGACTCACGGACCGCAGGTCCATATGCGACAACCGCGACCACAGCCAAGCCTGTTTCTCCTGGTGCGGTCACTCGGGGTGCGGGTAAGAGACCAATGGAGTCTGCCGCCCCCGTCAATCTTGCCAAGCGGTCCAGGACAGGTTCCCCGCGGTCGAAGGCGGTCGAGAACCGTGGTAAGGGTGTGTCCCCCTCTGCGAAGTTGAGTCAGGTTGATTTACCTCCGCTGGCGGCTACCGATGGTGAGGCGGCTGAGCTCGCCTTTCATACCATCTGTGACCAGCTTGTTGTGCCTCCGGAATACACGGCTTCCTCGAGTGGAAATACCCGGCGTCTTGCCGGGACCGCTACTCAGTTCTTCTTCGCGGTACGTTCGTTTTGCCCAGGTCTTGTGTTTTAGTGAATAGCACGCGCTCACCTATTTGTTTCAACGGCTTCAGGCGCAGGTTGGGTTCTCCCAGATTTTGATGAACAACGACCGCCTCTCGAAGACCGTCGAGGACCAGACCGCGGAGATTATCAAGCTGAAGAAAAGTTCGAGTGAGGGTAGGGAAGCGCTGATGGCAGAAGTCCGCCCATTGGTGGAGCGGGAGTTTGAGGAGCGGTTGGCTGCGAAGGACCGTGAACTAAGTGCTGAGAAGGAAGCGGTTAGGAAGGCGCTCGAGGAGCAGGATCGACTTCGGGAGCGGGTAAGGAAATCCGGTGAGATGGAGAAGTTGCTACTGGGAGAGCAAGAGTCTCTGCGCAAGGAGATAGAGTCGTTGAAGTTGGAGAATGCGGCCGCTTTGAAGACTCACCAGGCGGAGCTAGAGACCGTACGAGCAGAAGTCGGGCCAGCATACTTAGAGTCGGATGAGTTTCAGGTGATTGATAATGAGAAGTATAAGACCATTGTTGGTAATGCGGTTGCTGCCATTCGACACTTGTTTCGTATGGATCAGCCTGAAGCGGTTTGGAGTACTGATGAGATTTGGGATGCTATTGGTGCATGGTCGGATACGGATGTGAATTCCGAGAACGAGGAGGAAGAGGGAGGAGGGGCTTCTCCCGGTGGTAATGCCAAGGATGATGGCGGTTCTCACCAGTCGTGAGCGGTTGCTCTTGTTTATTTGTTTTCCTTGTTTGAACAATGGGTGATCGTTATTTTGATTCGGATGTTCCTTGTACGAATATTTTATGGGGTTTGGTTCTGTTGACCGCCTCCCGCGGCATTTGGATTTTTCTTACGAACTTCATTGGTAAGTTATGTATGGAGGCTGGTTCTATTGACCGCCACTCATGTATTATCCTATTGCGGTCTTTGCTTAAGTTTTGAGATTGCGAGCATCGCTTTGCCACGAGCTACTCGCCATTTGTTGAGGGGTGCCCCTTGTGTACGTTCAGCTTTATTGTTATGCCCGGAGGCAACCTTTACGCATTTGGGGATGCCCCTTGTCTATGTTTGTGCGTGCCTTTTCAGAAGTTATGGCCGAAACTAATCAGTGTATTACTTAGAGCAAAAGGGGTTGCGTTGGACAACCGATACACTGTTACAAGTGGAAGGGGGATCCCGTAGCCACTAAGACAATCTGCAAGCAAAAGTGGTATCGTAGTACCACACAATTACAAGTGGCGGGAGATTTCCCGGACCATTAAAATAATCTTGGTCTTAGCCCAACGTGCTCTAGACCGCATCAGAGTAGTACTTCCTGAGATGCATTGCGTTCCAAGTCTTGGAGACTGGGTCTCCTTCCATAGTTGCAAGTCTGAAGGTGCTGGGACCTGTCTTTTCTCCGATGAGGAAAGGGCCCTCCCATGTGGCGGCCAGCTTTCCATGCTCGTCTTTCTTTTGGAAGTCTCGTTTGAGGACCATGTCTCCTTCTTCGAGAGGCCGCGCCCTCACCCTCTTGTTGTAGGAAGTGGCCACCTTTGCTTTTTCACTCAGGAGGCGTTCCAGGGCCGCGTCCCTTCTGGATTCTATCATATCCAGTTATTCCAACAGCTTCTTGTGATTGGTTTCTGGATCATATGCTTGGACGCGGAGGGATGGGAGGTTCAGCTCCTCGGGTGCGACCGCCTCGGAACCGTATGTCAGAGCAAATGGGGTTTCACCTGTGCCAGTCTTATATGTTGTACGATGCGCCCACAGGACGTGCGGGAGTTCGCTTGTCCATCCCCACTTGGCGTCTTTCAAACGCTTCTTCAGCCCACGAAGGATCAGCTTGTTGCCGGCCTCGGCTTGACCGTTCGTCTGTGGGTATGCCACGGAGGCCATTGTGCAGATGATGCGGTTTCTGGCACAGAAGTTCTCGAACGGTCGGCAGTCAAACTGCGTGCCATGATCGGTGATGATTGACTGCGGGATGCCGAAGCGAATCATAATGTTGTTGAACACGAACTTCTGCACCCGGGCGCTCGTGATTGTCTCTAGCGGTTTTGCCTCGATCCACTTAGTGAAATAATCTACTGCCACTACCAGGTATTTCTTGCCTAATGGAGCCGTGGGGAAGGGTCCCAGCAGGTCAAGGCCCCATCTGGCAAACGGCCACGGTCCCACCACACTTTGCAGCTCGGAACTTGGAAGGTGGTGTTTGGTGGCATGAACTTGGCATGCGTGACACTTCTGGACGACGTCTGAAGCGTCTCTCTTAATCGTGGGCCAGTAGTAACCTTGCAACAGGACTGTCCTCTCTAGTGACCTCGGTCCCGCGTGTGTTGCACACGTTCCTTCATGTATCTCCTTGAGCGTCCATTTTGCCTCTTCTGGTCCTAGGCACTTCAAATATGTTCCTGAGAAAGATCTGCGACACAGCTGTCCATTCACAACGGCGTACCGCGCCGCCCTCCGCTGGAGCGCTTTCCGTTCACTTGGGTGCTGCGGGGCGAGGTCTTGTTCCAAATATTGGAACAGGGGCGTTCTCCAGTCGGAGGCATCCCCAATGACCAGGACTTCTTCGAGGAGATCAGCTTCCTTGGTGACAGTGACGTGACGATCTCCTTCGAAATCCATGGCGGTCGCCAATTTTGACAGTGCATAGGCGTGCTGGTTATCGTCCCGTCTCACATGCTCGAGTTTCCATGAACTTAACTGTGCTAGGGCGCTTATGACTCTATTGGCCAGGACGGTTAATGATTCATCCTTGACCTCAAATGCCTCGTGCACTTGCTGAACGACCAGAAGGGAGTCGGAGAAGATGTGGACGTCGGATGCGCCCATGTTGGTGAGTATCCTGAGCCCGTTGATGAGAGCTTCATACTCGGCTACGTTGTTAGTCTTGATTTCTTTGAACCGTAGGGATATTTCGTGAACCACTCCTTCTGGTGATTCTATGACAATTCCTGCCCCTGAGGCGGTTTTTCCGGCCGCTCCATCAACATGTAGACGCTAGATCTGACTTTGTTCTGCGAAGGGCGACACGATGACTGAGAAGCCTTCGGCGATAAAGTCCGCCAACACTTGCCCCTTGATGGCTGGTCGTGGGGCGTACTCAATGTCGTACTCGCTGAGCTCAACTGCCCATTTGGTTAACCTGCCTGATGCGTCCATTCCTCGCATGACGCTTTTTAGGGGCAGGTTCGTTAGCACCGTGACGGGGTGTCCTTGGAAGTACGGTCGTAGCTTTCGTGCCGCGGAGGCGACAGCGAGGATCGCCTTCTCGACGGGCATGTACCTCGTCTCAGCGGGGAGAAGTGCTTTGCTCACATAGTAAACCGGTTGGTCAGTGCCCTCCGGTGTCCTTCGTACTAGAGCCGAGCTAACCGCTTGCTCTGACACTGCCGGATAGAGGTATAGTCTTTCTCCTTCGACCGGGGCGCTCAAGATTGGAGGGGAGCTGAGTTGATTCGTCAGCAAAGCGAATGCCTTGTCGCACTCGGTGCCCCATTGTAGTCTTGAGGCCAACTTTTTTAGCATCTGGAAGAAAGGGGAGCACTTGTCCGCTGATCGTGGGATAAATCTTCCCAGAGCGCCCATCTTGCCGTTGAACACCTGAATTTCCTTGATTGTCTTTGGTGGCTTTAAATTCCGGATGGCCTCTATCTGCTTTGGATTGGCTTCTATCCCACGCTTCGTGATCATGAAGCCAAGGAACTTTCCCGCTTCGGCTCCGAAGACGCACTTCAATGGATTGAGCCTCAGATTCTTCCGCCTTAGAGTTTCAAAGGTTTCTCGCAGGTCGGAGAGGTGATCGCCGGACTTTTTGCTCTTGACCAAGACGTCATCTACATAAGCTTAAACATTTCTTCCCATTTGGTCTTTGAAGACCGCATCGACCATGCGCTGGTAGGTCGTCCCCGCATTTTTGAGTCCGAAAGGCATGACTACATAGCAAAAGTTGCCCATTGGTGTCATGAATGCGGTTGACTATTGGTCGCTTTCTGCCATTTTGATTTGATGGTAGCCCGAGAACATGTCTAAGAAGCTGAGTGCCTCATGATTGGCGGTCCCATCAATCAACTGGTCGATGCGGGGTAGGGGGTACGCATCCTTTGGGCACGCGGGGTTAAGGCTGGTGAAGTCGATGCACATTCGCCAAGCACCCCCTGCTTTGTGCACGAAGACCGGATTTGAAAGCCACGTGGGATATTTTACCTCTCGAATGAATCCCGCGCTGAGTAACTTTCGCACCTCCTCCTCGAGGGCTAATTGTTTTTCCACGGATAGGTGTCTTCGTCGTTGCTGTATTGGTCGCGCTTTGGGCTTGACCGAGAGGTGGTGTTCAGAGACCTTGCGGGGGACGCCTGGCATGTCTTCCGGTCCCCACGCGAAGAGATCTTGGTACTCTCTGAGGAGTGTGAGGAGCTTCTGGGCCTCTTCTTCATTCAGGTGGGCTGAAATGCGAACCGTCTTGTTCGGTTGCTCTTCATTCAAGGGGACCGCCACGTCTCCTTCCACGGCCTCTGGTCGTGGGACATCGTCTCTCGCGTCCACAAGGTCGACTTCAAGGCGCTCGATGGTTGCTTGATAGCATTCCTTCGCTTCCTTCACGTTTCCTCGAACGCGCCCCGTCTGCCCCCCACTGGGTAATTTCAACATATGGTGGCACGTAGACGCGACCGCTTCAAACGAAGCTAGAAAACCGCGTTCGAGGATGGCGTTATATGCCGAAGGGCAATCTGCCACATGGAATTCCACCAGCTATGTCTTGGTGATCTCGCCTTCGCCTATGGTGACTTTGAGGGTGATTGACCTGAGGACGCGGACCTTTGTTCCTGAGAATCCCACCAAGCTGGTGTTAGAGGGATTGAGGTCTTGAACGCTCTTCTTCATGCCCCTGAGTGCCGAGTAGAAGAGAATATCGGCGGAGCTCCCGTTGTCGACAAGAGCACGCGTGACTTTATACTTGTCAGTTCTGAATGAAATGACCAGTGGGTCTTCAGAGTTCTCTTCTTTCGCCAATTCCGAGGGCTGAAAAGTAACTTCTGTGGGTACTCTTCGTTGGACGCTGAGGCAATGGCTTAGGCGGTCTGCTTCCGATCTTGGGCGCTTTCTGCCCCCTGCGATTGTGATGATTTCCATTCCGTCATCATCTCTTCGTTGGGCCCGGTAGGCGGGAGACTGTCTCTGGGGAGAGATGGCCTTGTTCCTTGTGGGCGACCTTGATCTCTCTTTACGGGGCCTCCTAGCCTTATCTGCTTCGGGGCTACGAGAGGCGGCCCGTGTCTCTTGGGAGTGGTCACGATGGGTACGTCGTGTTTCCAGGCGGCTGCACAGGTCGCCAGGAGCCAAGTACTTCAGGCTGGCTTTGAACTCCCTACACTCGGTGGTGTCGTGGGTAGTTATCTGGTGCCAGTCACACCACTTCTTACCCTCCGACGGTTCTTGGCCGTCGTGTGCTTCAGACTTCCTTCCACCTCTTCGTCTATCTCTTCCCCTCTCGCGGTCTGTTGAATATACTTCCTTTTTTCCCTCGCGGTCAGAGTACCGGTTGCGGTATGACTTCCGTTCCGGAGATCGCCTTTCGCGCCGAGCATCTGCACGGCCTGATGGGTCATTTCGAGGACGACCCTGATGGTTCCGATCGTCTGTGGCTAATGCTTCCTCGAGCAGAATGGCTCGTCGCACCAGTTGGTCTAGGTCCGACCAGGATGTGAGCTGGGCTTCCTTCTTTAT